ATTCCATGCGTGGTAATTCGGTGCGAAGGAATATCAGAGCGTGGTGAATTCCACGCGTGGTAATTCGGCGCGAAGGAATATCAGAGCGTGGTAATTCCAAGGGTGGTATTTCGGCGCGTAGGATTATCAGAGCGTGGTAATTCTACGCGTGGTAATTCAGAGCGTGGTGGATTCCACGCGTGGTAATTCGGCGCAATGGAATATCAGAGCGTGGTAATTCCAAGGGTGGTATTTCGGCGCGTAGGATTATCAGAGCGTGGTAATTCTACGCGTGGTAATTCAGAGCGTGGTGGATTCCACGCGTGGTAATTCGGCGCAATGGAATATCAGAGCGTGGTAATTCCACGCGTGGTATTTCGGGGCGTAGGATTACCAGAGCGTGGTAATTCCACGCGTGGTAATTCAGAGCGTGGTGGATTCCACGCGTGGTAATTCGGCGCGTAGGAATATCAGAGCGTGGTAATTCCACGCCTGGTAATTCAGAACGTGGTGGATTCCACGCGTGGTAATTCGGCGCATAGGAATATCAGAGCGTGGTGTATTCCACGCGTGGTAATTCGGCGCGTAGGAATTCGGTGCGTGGGTATTCGGCGCGTGGTAATTCGATACGTGGGTATTCGTCGCGTGGTAATTCGATACATGCGTATTCGGCGCGTGGTAATTCGACACCTGGGTATTCGATGCGTAGTAATTCGATACATGGGTATCCAGCGCGTGCTAATTCGATACTTAGGTATTCGGCGCGTCGTAATTCGATGCGTGGTGACTCGCATCGTGCAGTAATTCGATGCGTGGTGATTCCATGCGTGGTAACGCATCGCATAACATTCAAATACGTACTAACTCGACATGATCCAATACTACCCTTGGTAATTCCGTTCCGCCAAAATTTGCCGCACAATCCTGTGCGTCGTAACACAATGCGTGGTATTTCACCGCATGGACTCCCTACATAGTAACCTAATGCCTACTAATTTGGTGAGCGGTCTACCATGTAGTAATACAACCCGTAACGAAGCATCGCAGCACAAGATAGCCTCCGGGATAACCCGTCGTCACAAAACGCAAGATACACCACGGCAGGAAAGAACAGCGTGTCTAATCTGTCATGATAGAACGTGTCACGGTACAGTCCATTCCCAAAGATATCCAAAACCGCCTGGACATCTCGGAAGCATCCCCTCGCGCGAGTCAAAACACCCTCGAGCCATTGGAAGCACCGCTCACCCCTCGAAACTCGACGTTTCCACGTGTGAGTCGCGTGCATAAGATAGAATGGAAGGGGTTGAAGGTGGGTTGGATGGACGTAGCGTGGATTATATCGGCACATGCGCAGTGACCGCGTCGGGTGTCGTGTCGGCGGAAAAGCGGATGCTATTCCGCTCGCGACGCTCGGCTCAGTACGGCGTGGTTCTCGCTCGCGATCGCTTCCGTCACGCGAGTCTTCGTCTCTTTTTATCGTTTCCGTCGTTCCTCGAGACGCGTGCGAGAAAACCGTTGTCTTCCGCTGTCACTGGCCTCGTGCTGTTTCTGACAAGTCGCTTCCGGTGCAGTGCAACAAAGAAACCGGCTCCGTAGAACCGGTGCCTTCCGTTTGTCACCGAGTCGAGGACCGTTCGTCGGTTTAACGAGGTTGCTTTGTTTCAACCCAGACTTTCAGACTGGTAAGCTTCTTTCGTGATAGCGTTTGAAACGTCGAGGGTTCCGATTTCAGGGCCGGATGTTTGCGTGATGGATTCCTCCGGTTTCTTCGTGGATCTTGTGGCAGGCTTGTTTGACTTCCTCTTCGGAATCGGTTAGGGTCTTCTGTGGACTCGGCTGATTGGAGTTGTTCAAGTTTTTCTTTTTTCTTTAAATCGAAGTCTTGTTTGACTTGAGTAGGGACATTTTAACGACTACTTTTGAAGTTGTATGATGGAACGTCTCTGGTAGCTTATGTATCATTAGGGCTGCAGCCTTGTGTTTAGGACCTTTTTTAGAACCTTAATGATCGAAGCTGTTGAAGTTTTGTTCCAAGGAATCTTAACTCGACGTTCAAATTTTGTTTCAGTCGTGTGATACAAATGTTGAGATTTTTAGACGTGACTCGGAATAATTGAATCTCTGTAACCAAAGATAATATATTGGCAGTATATTTACTGGTATTGTTGCAGTTTACCATAAACCCATAGAGAGCATTCTTCGTAACGATTTTGTTCCCAACACAATATCTTAAACAAATGCGCGAAAGGAAGGTGTCGATTCGATATATTAACTGAAATATTCGAAAGCGATGAATCAAGCGGGCCCCATCCCCTCTGTGTGTATTTCGCGCGCGACAGAGACGCACAGAGGGAAGGGATTTTAAAATTCAAATGCGTGTGGTCGTTGTTTATGGAATCGTCACGGAGCGAATGGGGAGGCGGGAATCGATATTCCAGCCGTTATTAACATACGAGTAATTGGTATTGTTCGATAAAACCGCGGCACGCGATAAATCGAACGGCAATACGGATATTTTCCACGGATAAATCGGCCAACGGGCACGCTGATTGTCGACCGTTACGTTCGTTCGGTTTGCACGTGATTTTCTTTGCTACCGATAAGCCGATCTAACAGATGTTTATTAGCATACGATAATTGCCGGATTGCTCCGCCCATTTTTTCCTCTGCCTTTTCGTTCCTTTTCACTCTTCTTCCTTTCGTTTGTTCCTTTTAACGAGATCACTTCTACTTTGCTCTTCAAACGATTTCAAATTTCCCGCCAAAAAGGCTTTCTCTTTATAGACCTTTATTTTTATGCACACTGGAGGATTATTTATTAAATTTAATATGTCTTCGCGTCAATTCGTAGAACTACATAAATTCGTATCGTTTGAATAGTTTCAAAGCATGGCGCCATTTTTGAAATTTAATAAATGACAGCCTTTTCTTTAGTTTCGATTTATAGACCTTTATTTTTATGGACGCTATAAGCTTACTTGAAGGATGTTATTTATTAAATTTAATACATCTTCGCGTCAATTCGTATAACTACATAAATTCGTATCGTTTGAATAGTTCCAAACATGGCGCCATTTTTGAAATTTAATAAATAACAGCCTTTTCTTTATTTTCGATTTATAGACTTATTTTTATGGACGCTATAAGCTTACTTTAAGGATGTTATTTATTAAATTTAATACATCTTCGCGTCAATTCGTATAACTACATAAATTCGTATCGTTTGAATAGTTCCAAACATGGCGCCATTTTTGAAATTTAATAAATAACAGCCTTTTCTTTATTTTCGATTTATAGACTTATTTTTATGGACGCTATAAGCTTACTTTAAGGATGTTATTTATTAAATTTAATACATCTTCGCGTCAATTCGTATAACTACATAAATTCGTATCGTTTGAATAGTTCCAAACATGGCGCCATTTTTGAAATTTAATAAGTGACAGCCTTTTCTTTAGTTTCGATTTATAGACTTTTATTTTTATGCACACTGGAGGATGTTATTTATTAAATTTAATACGTCTTCGCGTCAATTCGTAGAACTACATAAATTCGTATCGTTTGAATAGTTTCAATGCATGGCGCCATTTTTGAAATTTAATAAACAACAGCCTTCTCTTTATTTTCGATTTATAGACCTTTATTTTTATGGACGCTATAGACTTGCTTGAAGGATCTTATTTATTAAATTTAATACATCTTCGCGTCAATTCGTATAACTACATAAATTCGTATCGCTTGAACAGTTTCAATACATGGCGCCATTTTTGAAAGAACAAAAGGCAACTTTTTTAGCTTCCTCCATATCTTTACAGACATAATCTATAGTCGTTACATAATTTCTATATGCATACAAATGCCTGTAAAACATACAAATACATGCGAAACATACAAATACATAAAAAATACAAGTACAGTAGTTTGAAAAAAGCGCGCGCAATTCGAAGCAGTGAAAACATCGAGCCGCAAGAAAACGGAAATATCGGAAGGGAAGAAAAATGAGCGTAGAAACAGGGGAAAAAGAAGAAAGTATTTCACTCGAATGTAGTGGCGGGCCAACCTCCTTTAGAAGCGTTCCACGCCTACTTGAAAGCCGGCTTTAACGCTGTCCGACTGTTTCAAAAACTCTTGCTCGACGCTCCGTTTTCCACGGTTCCGTTGTTTCGCGCGCTACTTTGCTCCCGCGTGTTCCGTTGTTTCCTTCGTCCCTGACAAAAAAAGTTTCCCTCGCTTTTTTATCGTTCGGCAGCGTTCAAACCGCCGCCCGCGTTTTCCGTTGCCTTCACACCGCTTTGTTCGCTGAAATTCTTCGACCGGTTACGCAAAGTAACTTTCCGTGTTGCAAGATTTATTGCCTGATGGCTACGAGAAATTAAGAAGTTAAGAGACGAGATATGATCTGCGCATGCGCGACTCTTCCCGCGGTTTTTTCAATTTTATGAGTTTTGGTTATTTTAGAATATTACTTTTTGGTGGTTTTCAGTATATTATTGTACTATTGTACTACTATACTACTTGTTATATTACTATACTAGTATTTAAGTATGATATTGGTTTACGTACTGAATATTTTATATCGATAGTCACTCCAGTACGCATGCGCAGTATCGCTGCGCTCACGTAAACCGCATTCGCTTTTTCCTTCCTCCAGAATGAATGTTTTATTTCTTTCCATACAATATCGGTTTCCATAGTTTTCCAATTTCTTCGACTTTTATGCCCGCCATATCTTTATATCACGGTGAAGAATAGGTTATACGATCAAATACGAATCCCGCGCTTTTTCTGCGTTCGTGCGCCATAGGTGCATTAAACGTGTCAATCTGTTAGGAAATACTTATCGATACCACAGCTTAACGTAATCTTTCCCTTCGTGTCTAACACGTATCAATTGTAAATATATTTGAAGATATGTACTAGATGATAGTAACTGCAGCACCTTGATAATCAGAGCCCTAACCTTAGAGCTTCTAACCTTAGTTACCTATCTAACGAAAAACCTTTGGTTTATTTTGCAGAATATAAGCAATTCACCTTTCTGGAAGAATCCTAAAAAATGTTAGAGGGCTGAGAAAGGAGAGGCGAATCGAATTAAGGCGCGAAGGAAGTGCACGTCGGTGGCCGGCGTTTTCCTGGATGGCTTCACGGTGGTCGTTTTACCACGCTGCGAGTGGCAATGTCCCCGTGTTCGTCCGTTTTGCACCGGCCTCGTCCAGCGAATCGCGATAAAGCACCCTCGACGCGTCTGCTCGTCGGACAAAAGGTCTACATGGGCACAGCTTGAATCGCCAAAGCCCCTATTTTTCTGTCCTCCGTCTTTTTCGTTGTCCTTGTCCGATCCTACGGCCAAGGAAGAAAATCGTAATCGAAGGTCAACGCCACCGCTGATCGATCGATGAAGAGCTCGTGGGACGTCCGCCGGAGGATTCTTCCAGATAAGGTTAGATGCTTTCTTCATTCTCGTTTTTATCCTCTGTTGTGTGATTTCTTAACCTATCGGATACGACGTATTGATTTTTCTCGTATACTGTCGGCATCGTGGATAATAGTAATCGATAGGGACGTTAGTAGAGGAACTTGTTAATTTTCTTATTTTGGAGATTTATTTGTAGCTGTGTTAGTATCGGTGTCATTTGTTTCGAGTGTTAATTTTAGTTGTTATTGTGAATACTTGACTCGGTGTACTCGAGTCGAGTACTCGGATACTGAGGTACTCGAGGATTCGAGTACTACTCAATCGAGTAACTACTCAAATAGGTATTCAAGTATTTAGATACTAAAGTACTCGAGGATTCGAATACTACTCAATCGAGTAACTACTCAAGTAGGTATTCGAGTATTCAGATACTAAAGTACTTGAGGATTCGAATACTACTCAATCGAATAACTCAAATAGGTATTCAAGTATTCAGATACTAAAGTACTCGAGGATTTGAATACTACTCAATCAAGTAACTACTCAAATAGGTATTCAAGTATTCAGATACTGAGGTACTCAAGGATTCGAATGCTACTCAATTGAGTAACTACTCAAATAGGTATTCAAGTATTCAGATACTAAAGTACTCAAGGATTTGAATACTACTCATTCGAGTGACTACTGAAATAGGTATTCAAGTATTCAGATACTAAAGTAGTCGAGGATTCGAATACTACTCAATCGAGTAACTACTCAAATAGATATAGTATTCAGATACTGAGGTACTCGAGGATTCGAATACTACTCAATCGAGTAACTACTCAAATAGGTATTCAAGTATTCAGATACTCAAGTACTCGAGGATTCGAATACTACTCAATCGAGTAACTACTCAAATAGATATTCAAGTATTTAGATACTCAAGTACTCAAAGATTTGAATACTTAGCTACTCAAACAGGTACTCAAGTAGTCAGATAATTAGGTTCTTACCATACCTAAGTATTCAAGTATGGATCTATAATTAAACCATTGCACTATTTGTATGAGTCCGACTCAACTACTCAACTTCTCATGTATTCCACTGCTCAAGTACTGAGTACTCGGATTCTCAGATACAGTCTCAAGTACCTAGGCACTCAAATACTTAGCTACTCAAGTATTCAACTACTCAAGCACTCAACTACTGAAGTATTCAGCTACTCAGATACTCAACTTCTCATGTATTCCACTGCTCAAGTATTGAGTACTCGGATTCTCAGATACTCACTCAATTACCTAAGTTCTCGAATACTTGGCTACTCAAGTACTCAACTACTCAATTACTTCAGTACTGGTATTCTCAGATTCATACTCAAGTACCCAAGCACTCAAATGCTCGACTCGAACTACTCAGTTCTCCCCTCGGTACTATTCCTAGCGAAACGTCACAGCAACTATTTTATACCACCGTCGTAACAGCGGTTCCAACACCTCGAACAACTACTTTCGATGTTAGTATTTGCAATAGCGAAGAAAGTGTGGTTAGAGCAGATGTTGCTCTTCCGTTCGGTCGACTTCCCACGCGGGGTCACGTCGACAGGTACGATCGATTATCATCGCGTGCGAACCGACCTTACACTGGGACGAAGGTTTCTGGGAAACGGTGTCTCTGGTTCACCGGGTCGTATTTATTGTTCTCGCCGGAATTAGATTGCGGCAAATTGCCGTTTCTTCGATGCACCGAAAACCCTTCTGTCTTTCCGTTGGCAAACTCTGTCTTTTGGCTGCAAAGACAAGCGTAAAATTTCGACCAGAAATTACTATGTCGGAACCTTTCGACACTTTGTTGAAAGTCGGATTCTAAATGACGGGCACAAAAAGATTTGCGGTTCCGTGTTAATCCAATGAACGAGGCAAAGGTTTCAGTGGCTTGAATAACACTTTAATAACGCTGCTCCTTTGATCCGCTTGGAGATTTAAAAACTGATCTGACTGAGTTATCGTGAGGATTTATGACTTGATATAGAACGTATTCTCGTTATCGTGACAATTTTCTGGGCTGATTTAAACCTTTGCTCTATGAATTGTTGGGTCAGTCAGAACTAATCATGGCTGTGATATGAACTTCATAACCTGAAGTTTTCTAGGCATGCACATATTCTTCTGTGCGTCATGAATACTTGAGTAGTTGAATACTTGAGGAGTGGAATACTTGAGCAGTCGAATACTTGAGCAGTGGAATACTTGAGTAGTCGAATACTTGAGTAGTGGAATACTTGAGTAGTGGAATACTTGAATAGTCGAATACTTGAGTAGTGAAGTACGTGAGTAGTCGATTACTTGAGCAGTGGAATACTTGAATAGTCGAATACTTGAGTAGTGGAATACTTGAATAGTCGAATACTTGCGTAGTCGAATACTTGAGTAATGGAATTCTTGAGTAGTTGAAGACTCGAGTAGTGGAATACTTGAGTAGTGGAATACTTGAGTAGTGGAATACTTGAGTAGTGGAATACTTGAGTAGTGGAATACTTGAGTAGTTGAAGACTTGAGTAGTGGAATACTTGAGTAGTAGAATACTTGAGTAGTCGAATACTTGAGTAGTCCAATACTTGAGTAATCAAATACTTGAGTAGTGGAATACTTAAGTAGTGGAATACTTGAGTAGTGGAATACTCGAGTAGTCGAATACTTGAGTAGTGGAATACTTGAGTAGCAGAATACTCGAGTAGTCCAATACTTGAGTAGTCGAATACTTGAGTAGTCGAATACTTGAGTAGTCGAATACTTGAGCAGTGGAATACTTGAGTAGTGGAATACTTGAGTAGTCGAATACTTGAGTAGTCGAATACTTGAGTAGTCCAATACTTGAGTAGTCGAATACTTGTGTAATCGAGTACTTGAGTGATCCAGTACTTGAGTAGTCTCGCATTCGAGTACTTGGATACCCGAGTAATAAAGTACTCGAGTAACCAACTGTTTGTGTATTCGCTCGAGACCTTTCGTACCTCAGTATTTGAACCCTACACCACAACCCTACATATAAAGTACCCAGCCTCTCACAGCCCTACATTTCGTCCCTCAGTCACCCACATCAGAATTAGCCCGTAGGGCAAACTTGCACGTAGTCCACGAATCGGGAAGAGGCGTTAAAGCAAAACTCCTGCTTCACTTCGAGCATCGCTTTTGTTTAGTCGCTCGATCATAAATCGTAAGCAAACCAGAAGCAGGGTCGAAAGGGTATCGCGAGACCCGGTCACGTTCGCGGATCGTCGTGACGCGTATCGATCCCAGCGAACCGGCCAATTCTGCGTCGAAACAGTCAGTCATAATTTTCGCGGACGTTTAATCAACCCGCGTTGCTGTATGCCCTCGTAATTCATTCCCGAAGCTATTTACTTTTCCCTCGGATCCGTGGGCTCCAGGCAAGCCTTTCCGTCCTTCTCCCGTGCTCTCGAACTCGTTCAATTTTGGTCGAGGCATTCGATATTCGAAGCAATAATATACAGGGATGCGAGGGTGTTCAATAAATCGTTCGCTCGTTCGAGCGACGCGAGGTGAAACTGCGAAATTTCAGCCTCGTTCGCGGCCATCAACGAGCATTTTCAGAGTCGAGTGCCAGGATCGCTCCTCGCTGATCCGCGGATATTTGTTGCTTTGTTTCAACTATGTCTATTTGGTTCATCATTTTCCCAGGATAAATGAGAGTGTCTAGAGTTTTTGACTGAAATAGGCCACTGCTGTTTTTTTACACGTTTGAATTTTTATGTTCTTCCTTTTCGGTATCGTGTAGCTGACATACCTTTATTGCACACTGCCCTCAATAACGTTCATATAAATCCATATGTGTTGGAGTATGCTTAAATCCAGTTAGCAACTTTCGAGTACTAAAATTAAGTGCTTCAGCTATGCAGGTACTGAGACAGGGCACTGTAGCACCTAGGTACTTAAACTGACTGATACTGTACCTGAGTATTCAGAAACATAGGTACTGTTCAATCAAATACTCAGGTACAGAAGTATTGTACTTCCAAGTACTAAAATCCTCGAGTGCAGTACCTGAATACCGAGGTATGGTACTCCACGTACCTAAATACCTAGGTACTGCACTCCTAAGGACCTGAACTCCTAGCTACCATACCCCAAGTATCTAAATACCTATGTACTGTACCCCACGTACCTAAATACCTAGGTACTGCACTCTTAAGGACCTAAACTCCTAGCTACCATACTCCCAAGTACCTAAACTTCTAGCTGCCATACCCCCAAGTACCTAAATACCTAGGTACTGCACTCTTAAGGACCTAAACTCAAAGCTACCATACTCCCAAGTACCTAAACTCCTAGCTGCCATACCCCCAAGTACCTAAATACCTAGGCATTGCACTCTTAAGGGCCTAAACTCCTAGCTACCATATCCCCAAGTACCTAAATACCTATGTACTGTACCCCACGTACTTAAATATCTAGGTACTGCACTCTTAAGAACCTAAACTCCTAGCCACCATACCCCTAAGTACCCTAGCACCTAGCTGCAGTACCCCCAAGTACCTAACTGCCTAAATACTATCCCCCCAAGTACTCAATCCACCTATCTACTCCATGAACATATCTCAGTATTAAACAATATACGCTTCTGACTGTCCAGGTGGTGACCACACGAAATTGTCCCATGAAGCCGACGGACGACAGCGTCATAGCCGGGGAGCGACTGTTGGCCGTGATCATCAACGCGAAATCCAGTAATCCTATCGTCGATCTGAGCTCCAGGTGAATCAAGATCAATTTCAACACGTCCAACAACGAACCATACCATACGACCATGTACAAAATCCTGAGACGCGGCTCCAGCCGCGTGTTGGCAGTCTGCGCGATCCTCCTGAGCCTGCTGTTGTGCCTGTACTACGTCAGTCAGGCACAGGGTCCGTCCACGGGTCCTTCGGCAGGGATCTTGAACGAGGCAGTGAGGTACGATCGGGGTCTCACGTCCATCACGCCTGACTACATCGAATCGCCCGATGCGAAGGTATCCCTGGACACTTGTCCCATCATCGTGCCCAGGAACGTGGACATCGACACGCAGATGGAGTTCGAGAAGTTCGACTTCCAGGTGAGTCTTGTGAACGTACTTTTAGATGTAGATGTTGTTTATTATTGCGGGCGACGACTGCTGTGGTCATTAGCATGTCAGATGTAGAGTTTGGGATTTGAGGTCTGGTGTGATCTTCTTGGCACCAAGGTTTAGTTGTGCTACGCGCTGGATACCTACGTATCGAATTACCACGCGTCGAATTACCATGCGCCGAATACTCACGTATCGAATTACCACGCGCCGAATACTCACATATCGAATTACCACGCGTCGAATACCCAGGTGTCGAGTTACCACGCGCCGAATACTCACGTATCGAATTACCACGCGCGGAATACCCACGTATCGAATTACCATGCGCCGAATACCCACGCACCGAATTCCTACGCGTCGAATTACCACGCGTGGAATAACCACGCTCTGATATTCCTACGCGTCGAATTCCCACGCGTGGAATCACCACGCTCTGATATTCCTACGCGCCGAATTACCACGCTTTGAATTCCTATGCGTCGAATTACCACGCGTGGAATTACCACGCTCTGATATTCCTACGCGCCGAAATACCACGCGTGGAATTACCACGCTCTGGTAATCCTACGCCCCGAAATACCACGCGTGGAATTACCACGCTCTGGTAATCCTACGCCCCGAAAGTGGAATCACCACGCTTTGATATTTCTACGCGTCGAATTACCACGCGTGGAATCACCACGCTCTGATATTCCTACGCGTCGAATTACCACGCGTGGAATCACCACGCTCTGAATTCCTACGCGTGGAATCCACCACGCTCTGAATTCCTACGCGTGGAATCCACCACGCTCTGATATTCCTACGCGTCGAATTACCACGCGTGGAATCACCACGCTCTGATATTCCTACGCGTCGAATTCCCACGCGTGGAATCACCACGCTCTGATATTCCTACGCGTCGAATTCCCACGCGTGGAATCACCACGCTCTGATATTCCTACGCGTCGAATTACCACGCGTGGAATCACCACGCTCTGATATTCCTACGCGTCGAATTACCACGCGTGGAATCACCACGCTCTGATATTCCTACGCGTCGAATTCCCACGCGTGGAATCACCACGCTCTGATATTCCTACGCGTCGAATTCCCACGCGTGGAATCACCACGCTCTGATATTCCTACGCGTCGAATTCCCACGCGTGGAATCACCACGCTCTGATATTCCTACGCGTCGAATTCCCACGCGTGGAATCACCACGCTCTGATATTCCTACGCGTCGAATTCCCACGCGTGGAATCACCACGCTCTGATATTCCTACGCGTCGAATTCCCACGCGTGGAATCACCACGCTCTGATATTCCTACGCGTCGAATTCCCACGCGTGGAATCACCACGCTCTGATATTCCTACGCGTCCAGTTACCACGCGTGGAATCACCGCGCTCTGAATTCCTACGCGTGGAATCACCACGCTCTGATATTCCTACGCGTCCAATTACTACGCGTGGAATACCCACGCACCGAATTCCTACGCGCCGAATTACCACGCGTGGAATCACCACGCTCTGATGTTCCTACGCGTGCCGAATACCCACGTATCGAATTACCACACCATCCACATGTGAGGCAAGTGGTCTCTAAAATAAGGACAGTAACATGGAGCCTTATTGTTACACCATGTATCAACAAAATTGTAGATAAATGCATGGCAACAAGATTTGCTAACATGATCACACCGTCCACATAAAAGTGAAGCAGGTGTCCAACAGTAATATGAAACTTTAAGAGGATACCTTTGAACGTAGCTCGAATATAGCTTCCCTGATTCCGCGAAAGTCTTCGGCTGATAAATCTGAGACTAGAGCACGCGAATTTTGTGCAAAACGACTCGTAGACAAGCGTAAGTCCGGTCGTTTTAAAAAGTACCAGCGTCATTAGCCGAGCGAACTTTCTTTTCTTCGTTCCCCAGGGAGTCTGCGGACTTGGCTGATTTAATGGACGACTCTCGCGTAATAAGGAATTTTTTCCCTTGCTGCGCCATTGAATCGAAAATAATTTAGCAGTTTGTCCTCCCTCGCTCCTCCCATGAGCCGGCTTCTAAACTCCAAAGCCAAAAGTTTGCGAGTCTCGAATTCGAGGAACTTCCCTCGGATTCAGAGAATAGCACGCGAGCTCCCACAATAAATTAATAACTCTATGAATTTATTTGGGAAAATCTAATACGAACACATTGATCTTTGCCAAATAACATCAAAACCACTCAATTTCCGAATCATATCAAGTTAGATACTTTAGAAGTCATTCGGGAACCAAAATGTGGCCGACAAAGTGTCTCGACCGTCCGCGGATTCAGGTTGTGTTAAATGACATGGGTATTGTTTAAATCGTTTCAATTCCCAGCTTCGTCGGCACCGAAAACCTGTTTAAATTTTCTACGTTAAATGGATATGAATATTATAAGAGTCATCAGTGAATTGGACTTCGGGGACCAGGAATCCTATGGGTATTTATATCAAGAAGTTCTTTCAATTTCGAGTGGTGAATAGGTAAATATCGGGGAATTATTGAACAATTAGAACGTGGTCTTTATGATTCTTGATAATGTACTTCTGTGGATGGGGTTTTGGGTATAGTAACTTTCAGTATAAGCCACATTTTATTGAGTTAGATGTCATTTCTGTTAAGAGTGAAATCGGTTCGGGCATAGTCGGTTCGGGGATAGTCAGTTCGGGCATAGTCGGTTCGGTCATAGTCGGTTTCGGTCATAGTTGGTTTCGGTCATAGTCGGTTTCAAGCATAGCCGGTTCGGGCATAGTCGGTTCGGTCATAGTCGCTTCGGTCATAGTCGATTTCAAGCATAGCCGGTTCGGTCATAGTCGGTTTCAAACATAGCCGGTTCGGTCATAGTCGGTTTCAAGCATAGCCGGTTCGGGCATAGTCGCTTCGGTCATAGTCGCTTCGGTCATAGTCGGTTTCAAACATAGCCGGTTCGGTCATAGTCGGTCTCGGTCATAGTCGCTTCGGTCATAGTCGGTTTTAAACATAGCCGGTTCGGTCATAGTCGGTCTCGGGCATAGTCGGTTCGGTCATAGTCGCTTCGGTAATAGTCGCTTCGATCATAGTCGGTTTCGGGCATAGTTAGTTCGGTCATAGTCGCTTCGGTCATAGTCGGTTCGATCATACTCGCTTCGGTCATAGTCGGTTTCAAGCATAGCCGGTTCGGTCATAGTCGCTTCGGTCATAGTCAGTTCGTGCATCCTCGGTTCGTCACAGTCGGTTCAATACACTCACTACCCACTCAAAGACCCCAAATCCTAAACTTGTCAATCACCGTTCAATCCAAACGCATCTGCAGGCACAATTCCTCCGTCTTGACCACAGAATCTAAGATTCTCTCAGCCGCGCGTTCCGCCGAATTAAACCGTTAACCAGATAATTCCAATTAATTCCCTGCAAAGCGGACGTCTTAGTTACGCTACAATTACTGGCAATTGTAAAAGGCAATTCCACGGCGAATGTTAGTGACCCAGCCATGCGGTGAATAATTTTATTCCCATGAATTTTCCTCGACGATAAATCACGTACCTTTTTCAAAATAAATTGTTCGGATATCTATGGAGATCTAAGATTAGCCTATCAGGCAATATCAGGGTAGAATGGCGTCCCACCCTAGTCCTTTGAGCCCAAAGCGGTTCTCGATTCTAATTATCGATTGTCCTCGCAGGCGCATTTCGTATGCCGAGTGTGCTCCGTGACAGATTCCGCGCGAGGTACACCCGGGTCAATTCTGGCCGTAATCAACGTAATTTCCCTGGCGTTCGAAGGAGCAAAAGAATCGGTCACCGAGAAGCGCGATTGTTCCCGTGCATTGTACCCGGTCGGGATTCGAGATTTCGCGGGGTTGCCATTCTATCTGGAAATTTTCACAATACATTCTGTTGGCCGAGATTCCTGGGTAGCCCGGAGCTGCTCGGAAGGAACGTTAATTCTCTGCGGTTGTTGTCCCGTGTGCACTCGCGTGCGCAAACCATCATTTTTCCGTTCGAGGAACAATGTTGAGATATACAACGGAAACCGGCAAAGGAACACGACAACCCGTGCGACCGAGAAAAAAAAACTGTATAAAGGTGAATCGCGAAATTCGTCTTCTGTCGTGCTCGAATCGTACCTCCGCGACGGAAAAGAGTAAGTTTGCTCGAGTTTCGAAACGCAATTTACGCTGGACCGACGCCGATGAGAAGTTTAATTAGTTTACAAGTGATTTGTCGGGGAATTTTATTAACACCGTGCAAACGTAGAAATTCTGATGCTCGAACGCTTCTTGCCTACTGCTACTTTCAAAACGGATTATAGAATTCTTCGTTAGAAAACTTTATTAGCGTTATTAAACAAAATTGCGTTCGGGGAAGTTCATTGCTTCGTTTGTTTGTCGAGTTCCTTCTTTTCAAACAACCTGTATGATGAGATGTTTTAGTGAATGATAGATTTTATGTCTTATATATGATATTCTTGCTGAACAAGATGGTGGATTAGGGAAGACAAGATGGCGGACTGCTTTAGGGAAAACAAAATGGTGGATGTATTAAGGAAAACAAGATGGTGGATGCACTAGGAAAAACAAGATGGTGGATGCAATAGGAAAAACAAGATGGTGGATGCATTAGGAAAAACAAGATGGTGGATGCTATAGGAGATACAAAATGGTGGATGCATTAGGAAAAACAAAATGGTGGATGCATTAGGAAAAACAAAATGGTGGATGCAATAGGAAAAATAAAATGGTGGATGTAATAGTAAAAACAAAATGGTGGATGCATTAAGGAAAACAAAATGGTGGATGCATTAAGGAAAACAAGATGGTGGATGCAATAGAAAAAACAAGATGGTGGGTGCATTAAGGAAAACAAGATAGTGGATGCATTAGGAAAAACAAGATGGTGGATGCATTAGGGGAAACAAAATGGTGGATGCAATAGGAAAAACAAGATGGTGGATGCATTAGGAAAAACAAAATGGTGGATGCAATAGGAAAAACAAG